CACATACACATACCTAAACACACACACACACACACACACACACACACACACACACACACGCATGACAATTTCCAGGTTAGAATTGGCAGAATATCTGCTTCAAATAAACTAAGTTCTATACCCTATCTCTTATAAAAGCTCTCCTTTGTAAAAGATCTCTTACATTATGGTAACTATAAATGAAGTTTACCTTAAATCTCTTCTTTTTTTTCTAGAATATATAACACGTTGGGCTCAGAACATACCTTTAAAACTTTAAATTTATAGTTTGGTGTTAGCTGCACATCAGAAACGTAGAACTCAGAGATACAGGAAAACCACTGAGAACAATGAACATGGAAATGTTGCACTGTTGTAGAGCTTAACAAGGAAAAGCTCACTAAAGCTACTTGCAGAGCAACATTAAAATACTCTAGGAAGGGCCGGGAAGATGGCTCAGTAGAATAAGCACTTGTCTGGCAAGCGCAAGGGCCTGAGTTCAATCCCTGGTTCCATAAATAAATAAATAAATAAATAAATAAATAAATAAATAAAACAGGATGAGTAATGGTAGCCATGACTTGGTGAAAACAACCTGAGGAAAAGGAGAGGAAGATTCCAGGAAGTCACCCTGGCCATGAACTCCTGAAAGAACATTCTTTTGCATCACTACAACCACAGAAAATCCCATGTGTGCATGCACATATGTACACAAGTTCATTTATGTTTCTTTTTTATTTTTTAAAAAAGAAAAAACAAACAGTCGTATAAAATTTCCAAACACGATTGTAGTAGAGCAGAAATGTTTAGTACATTGTACACTGTCAATTAACCCATTTATTTGGCTGGAATCTGAGTATTACCTCGGTAAATAAAACAGTAAAATAAATATTGCCTTAAGAGATATAAGTTCCCTTTAAAGAGTAAGAAGAAGAGAACAGTCAAAAAAGTAGATGTAAATAAAATAAAATATTTATAGTATTTTGTTAAATACAAGCATTTCATACCTATTTGGTGGAAAATCTATAAATGTATGAGAATAATATTCACAAATAATAAATTGAAAGGGAAAGAAACTGTTCAAAAAGAAGGAATAGCCAGGATAAGAGAAAGGAAAAAAAGAAGAGAAAGAAAGAATGAAAGAAGAAAGAAACAAAGAAAGAAAGAAACAAAGAAAGAAAGAAAGAAAGAAAGAAAGAAAGAAAGAAAGAAAGAAAGAAAGAAAACTATACACAGAATAGCTTAGATAATTGTACTACTGATTTCTACTGGTCTATAGCAAAGAGCAGTTACTGAATAAGCATTTTTTCTTCTTTTTAATTTTTGACCAATTTCGTACGCTTAGATCTCGTAACCTGAATAATTTGAAGACAACAATATGCAACATAAAAACCATTGTTGAAATCCTATCATTCTGGGCCTGAGGAGATAGTTCGGTGGTCTAAATGCTGGCCAGGGAAGTGCAAGTTCCTAAATTCAATCCCCAGGACCATGTGCCATGTGGTCCTCAGAACCCTGAGGCGCACAGTGCCAGCACCGAAACCAAATGTGGTGGCTCATGCCTGTAAACTCAGTGCTGGGGAGGCTGAGACAGGAGGAGCACTATGATTCTAAGCTGGGTAATGAGACCTGGTACCAAATAAATAAATAAATAAATAAATAAATAAATAAATAAATATCCCATCATTCTGTGTATTGGAATTCTGTACAATTGCTAATGTTTTTTTCTGTTATTTTTACTAGTTTTTAATCTCTAGATCAAATAATTATTTGTCTTGTGTAAGCATGTTTAAAGAAGTAAAAATTAATTTTATTAGATTATTCTTACAATGCCTAGTCTAATACCTGTTGATATGATGAATTGCATTGAGGAGATTAATTTACTAGTCAAAATCTGTTAAATTGTCTAAAAAATGGCGTGCATTTAGTATTAGGACTTGTGGTATAAGCAGAAAAAGCAGAGAGCTCTTTTATATATAATTTCTGATACAGATTTAAAGATTAGAATTGTGAATTTTTAATAAAAATGTTTTGAAAAAATATTGAATTACTTATCAAAATTAAACTGTCTCTAAGCATATATTGCTGACAGATCCAAAAGATATTATATATGCTGTAGCTTGTATTAACAGCCAGTGCATAACAGAAATAGATGCCTTCTAGCGTCCTCATATTTTACAGGTCTCCACATGTGGTTCTAGATTCGGTGGTAGAAGAAAGTCATTTTAAATTAAGGCAAAAAATATTTGGTTTCTTTTTGTGAGTAGTGGTTACCTTAGTAGCACGTGATACTTCCTTAAACCCAATGGGTTTTCACGGTTTCGTCCATAGCAACTATTCTTAGTGTCCTGAAAGGACAAGAGAAAACTGTCTGTGTTAAAAGAATTCATCCTAAAGGACGTCACAGCCCACCCTGATCTTCAGCTCTCCTTTTAGAGGCTGAATCTCACCATCTGGGAACCTTAGTGGTGGACACCTTGGGCATGGTCATCCCCACCAAGGGGGACATTAGTCAGCAAACACCCAGGTTCTTTTCAATCACACATCTCAGTGTTCTTCATCATGATCGTTCAAGAGCTGTGGGGCCCAAAATATTGGTGAATTTTATATGTAGCTGAAAAGCAATTCCCCCAAAATTGTTCACAATGGTGTTTATTGTTAGTGAACATTTTATTCAGTCTGCAAGGACATATGACCACTATGTGGCCATCTGCAGCCCTCTGCCTTACACTGTGATCATGTATTGTTATTATCACTGAAAAGACAAAAGTAAACACAGACTCAAACCCGAGAACTACTTTCAGCTAGTTCTCTTAAACTGTCTTCCTTATTCTACACCCAAAAGCGTGAAAACATGTTAGTTTTCTTTATGCAAATAAAAAATTTTTTACATAATTTAAAACATGAGTCCAAAGTGACTTTCCATACATTATTACTGTTTTATAAAGTAAAGTTCTTTGAGGGGGCAAATCAACTCAGATGAGACTCATCCCTGTAACTTTTGACACAAAGATTAATTCAGAAATATTCCATAGGTCGAGTCAAATAGCACAAAAGATTAAAGTGCATGAAAGCGGGAG